TTCTTCGTTTTAAAAATTAACGAGATTCCATAATGTACACGCACAGTTAGATAGGCAGCAGAACAGTAAACGCTATATTGCTTTCAGTTTTTTTATGTTTCTGTAATTATTCATTTGACATTCTGTCGCATGACAATTTAATTACAAATTTCAAAAATATTTAATTAGTAATAAAATAGTAAACTAAAATGGATTTGATGCAGAATATTAATAAAAGTTACTTATACATATTTTAGTGCATTTTTTTCAATTCTTATTATCTATTGACTTATAAATAATAGAACATCTATATTTAAAATATTTAATACTATAGATCAGTATTATATCAGTTTTGTACTTACACTATCAATAATACATAATAATAATCAAAGCAACATCAAATTATTAGCATAGGGATATTTTTATATTCGTATCAAGAATGATTTTATAATTTATATTTACTTCCTATAAATTTCAGTACGTCTAGTAAAATAATTTGAATGATAAGGTATTACTTGTCATACGAACAGATAAACTTTTATAAAGCGAATGTATATCAAAACTGACATTAAATATTATGAAGTTTCTTTTACTTAAAAATTATAAGAAAAATGATCTTAATTGTAATTCTAGAAATAGTAAAATATTAATCATTTTTAAAAATACATGATATACATTTCAAATAGTCTGTTTTTTTATTCCTAATTGTAATGTGTAATAATTTTCGATTGTTCAATGTACTCCACAAACTATATTAAGCGTTATAAATATTTAATGATTAATTTAGATTTTTTTATATATTATAAGAAAAATGTATAATATTATAATTACGTATTTTTTATATGGATCCGTCGATATATAACTATTGATAATTAAAATTGATCATACGTAAACGATCATTCATATAGAATCATTGTATTTAATTTTCATTCTTTAAATTATAGTAATTTATTATTAGATTTTATTATTTTGCGTGTTCAAAGTATTTAAAAATTTTAAAAAAATAAAAAAACATTCAGGAACATTAATTAATCATTATCAAGTTTTAAGAAAAAATCAAAAGTTCTTTCTTCACGCCATTTAAAAACTATTGTAAATTTTTATACACTTTATATTAAAAGTTACTGATTGTTTATAATATTCTTTATATACATTACTTATGGCTCAATATAAATTAAAAGTACTTTATCACAGACATACATATAAATATATATATATATATATATATATTAAACGCGAAATATAAAGTTGATTAAAAGGACAAATTGTTAGTTCATACTTTTAAGAAGTAATAGCTTAATTATTTTGGTATTCTAAATGATGTTAATAATACCTAATATCAATATTAAATTCTAAAAAAATATATTCTAAATAAATTTGTATTAAAGAAATGATTAAAAATGTATGAAATATAATCTTATTTAAATATAATCTATTAAATGCTTTAGAAATCCGCCATTAAAGCTAGAAAAACAAAAATTTTATAACAAAATTTTAATAAAAATTCTTTTATTTTTTGAAATATTAAAAAAATTTAATTATTTTCTAGAGCAATCCAATATGCTGGATATAAAAATAGAAATTATCAAAGAATTTTAATATAAAATATAAGAATATCGTATTGTTATGATTAAATATAAACATAAACTAAACTAATCGATTAAGGAAATGAAGAAATATAAAATAAATTGACTTATAAATATGAACAATCTATCAATACAGACTATACAACAGCTATATTCATAGTCAGTAAGTACAACATTTCTTTATAATGTATTTAATATTTATAGAAAAGTGTGAATAAAATAAAATATAAACGATTTAACTCGTTCCAGATAGGGAATAAACAATATTTCGTTATGAAATATATTTAATAAGGGTTACATTGAGATAATAATTGTAACGTCCTAAAATTTATTATTTATTGCTTTAATTTAAAACATTCTTAAATAATTTATAATCTTCGTATTTCGAGTAATTTGCATGCAACATTTGCATTGCAAACGTTCAGAATTAAATCATATATCATATGATGCAAGAAAATGTGTTTTTTATTATTTAATTAAGATTTCAATATATATGGATAATGCCAATTCAATACTAAATTAAAATAATCCATTATTGAAAATTTAGTAAGTTTATGGAAAATAATAAAATCATTATTAGCAAAAATAAATAAAGTTAACAATAAATATAAACTCACAAAAATAGTGTGGCAGTATCAATATATTAATTTTACAGAACCTTCAAATAGATAAATTAATATCGTAATAAAAAAATAACAACAATAAATTGATACATAATACAAAGGAAATGATTTTGAAAAAACCTTGTTTTTCTATTCTTCTTCGTCCGTGATAATATAACATTAATCAAACGAAATTCTTAAATAATTAATTAAACAATTAATTCAAATAATTTAAAATTGAAAATTTTAGTAAATTTTTACAATATCAAATCAGTATCATTCAACTGAAATAAAAATATATAAAATTATTTTATAACTTCTGCTACACAGTGTGTTCATTTTAATTTATCCATCTGAAATAATGTTTATTAAGATAAAAAGAAAAGCCTGAGGTAAAATTTGAGGTAAAAACAGTACACATAATTGTATTTTTGTAAGAACTAGAAAGCAGAGGAGCTTTGGAATAAATTAAGTTAAAATAAAGAAACTGATATTAAATTAAATTCAATTGTACGCAATAGTTTTAAATTACTAAAGTGATCAATCTGTAAATTGATAAAATAGGAATATATACTTTTTTTAAAGATTATAGAAAATCGAATTTTTATTAATATTATTATTTACCATGTAAGTGATAATTACTGTATTGAGTTAAAAAGAATATAAATTTTTTCTGTTTCTATTACTTACACTTTTACTATAAAAGTAAATAATAACTTAAGATAAATAAAAATAAAATTAAGTAATAAGTAAAATAATACATAAAATAAAATTTTGAAAAAGTTGAAAACAAAAATTACCCATTAATTAATTAATTTACTATGGTTTTATAACTTCACATATATTTTAGTAATAAATAAAAGAAAATCATACGTAAAAATGCAACGATTCTAATAATTATGTGTTCTAAGAATTATGTATAAATCTATCTTGTTTTTATTATAAGAGAATTATTTTGAGGTTAAAGTGTTCATAAGTATATGAAATACTGAACATTTGACTTCTAAAAAATCCATTTAATCTTCATACCTAATATCGATTTCGGAGTCGGATCTCTGATTATGAGCAGTCGACGACGTCATTCGAAAATACGAAAAGTGACGTTAGTGTATTACTGGATGCATTACACGAGAGACTAAGTACGGGGAGTGGTCGACGACCCGAGAATGGACAAAACGCGCATGCTTGAAATGAATTCATGATATAAACTTGTCTGCGACCTTACCCCTGATAGATCTCTTTATTACCAGGTTCTTTAATTTTTAATATTATGACAAGTTTTTAAATTTCCAATAGATATATTGTTATTAAATTACATTTTTAATTAATAACATATTATTACTGAACCAATGTAATTAATATTAAATACAATAACATTTTTTTTTTAAGATTTAATAATTATGTAAATATTTTAAGAAAAATGTTTATCTCATTTTTAATAATAATATTAATATAATAATATTAATTATAAATTTATATTAATTTTTTCTATTGAGTATAAATTATTCTTTCGCCTATCTAAACAGTTATTTTGCAGTATAGTATTAAAACAACATTACATTAGAAGAAATAAAAAGTATTATATTTAAAATTAAATTTATAAATTATGTTTTGTTTAATATAATTTCTATAAGATTTTTTTTTTTAAATAAAATAAAAAAAATTCCGATACCGGGAATCGAACCCGAGCCTCCTGGGTGAGAGCCAGGTATCCTAGCCACTAGACCATACCGGAGTCACAATATAATATTATTATATATTATAGCTTACAGATTTAATATTATGAATTAAATTAGTAATTAAATTTAAAAATTCGACAATTAAACATATTATAAATTTTAATTTGGTGTAAGTAAAATTATTGATAAAGCTTTTAGATTATTTAAATTGTATATTTTTTTAGTGTAAAAATCTATAGTAAACTTTATATAAATTGAAAAAATGGTTTATAAATTAAACCATTATAAATAAACATCATATTCGATCAAATATTTTCTTAATTACTGCTATTGAATGTATAAAAATATAGCGTAAAATATATAAACAAAAAACTTTCTATACTTGTTTGGAATAGCTTTATATTTAATTTACCATTTTAGGTACATAAAATTATACTATTTAATTTCTTAAATCTTTTTAATAGAAAATTTTTTTCAGTAAAATAATAATAATATATAGATAATAATAAAAAAAAAAAAAATATATATATATATATATATATATATATATATGTATGTATTTGGTTAAATATGCTAATATCATTTATAGAAAGGAATAATAATTTAAAATGTATGCATTATTATAATAATCACAAATTTTATTAAGAATATATTTAAAAAACTGTCTGCATTGAGCCAAGCTGAATCACTCATAAGGATTCTTAAAAAATAATAGTATAAACGCAGGTATACTTCAATTATGTTTGTCATTATACAGTAGATTTGATAATGATTATCGATGGAACTGATATTTATTATTTTTAAAGAATTAATCGGTCACTTGCGTCCGTCTTAAATTCGAGATTAGCCGTCATATGTAATTTGAAAAATAAAATGGCAAATCGAAATTTAAATCTACTGGAAAATAGTTATATAAATAGGTAGGTAGATAGGTAGGTAGGTAGGTAGGTAGGTAGGTAGGTAGGTAGGTAGGTACGTAGGTAGGTAGGTAGATAAGTAAATAGGTAGGTTGGTCGCTAGGTAGCTAGGTATGTGGGTTGATAGGTAGGTAGAGAAATAGATAGATAGTTAGATAGATAATTAGAGAGAGAGAGAGAGAGAGAGAGAGAGTGAGAGAGTGAGAGGGAGTGACGAAGAGGGTCTGAGTAACTCACGGCCAAGTACCGGAACGCTTCCTCCTACGAAACTCCAACTCTTTATAATCGTGTATGAGCTGCTGCCCTCGAGGCTCCGGTGTGTCTCGCTCCCAGGAGTCTATGAGCAATTCGCAACTCGCGCTACAACGGCGTGAACGTTCACGCATTATAACCTCCATCTAGACAGTGGTCATCATGCAGATCCCGTGCTCTACTGCCCTCCAAATCATTGTTCTATCTTTATTGTCGACATTATTGTCTAAACGTCATTATTTGTCGTAACGATATTATTTTCTATTTGTTATTGAATTATATGATTTTACTGATCGATTTAAGATCGTTGAATACGTTATTTACAACCGGTTCCGCTTTAATTATATAACTATTAACCGAAGACCGCCTCTCAGGTATTTAATCCAAATAGTCCATCGTGGATTAACGTTATCACACGAAAATGTTATGGAAGCGCTATAAATCAGTAATATCAATTTCGAGATGCGATGTTGACAAAACAAATGAGAAAAAGTACAAGTAGGGGTTTTCACTCGGAAAATTCGAATAATTGCTCGATCAATCAAGCCGAGACACGTGTTGTTACCATCCAATTTGAAATCCTTATCTGACAAATACATTTGCACATCACAGTCGCCGCTGTTTCCTATCCTCGACGTGAGGATTACTCGAACGCAATTTTCACTACCGCTACAAAAATGTTTCGAAAGATAAAATGCCGCGAAGAGGAAGGGTGCGCGTTTCTCACTAGCACGTAAGCACCTTCGATAACATCCGAATGTCGCGGCGGTCGAGACTTTACTGAGGGCGAGCCGCGAGCCCGACGACTTTACCGACCGAACACCCCCACCTCCTGTGCCCTACGCCGCTCGCCGCCGATGACATGATTCCAACGACGTTTCCTCGGGGTTTTCAAACGCGCACATTTCACCTGCTCAGCTCAGGGAGAACACGGCCGACACTGGTATTCATTGACATTTTTTTCGTCGTGGCCTTCGTTAAATACAAAGATTGTATCTTAAAAAGAAAATTTATAACCGATTGCCACACAAGCCAAATTTGTGGTTCATTTTGCCTTGTAATGCACAGCCATTGCAATTTTTTCGTAAACTCACGTTTTGAAGCCATCTTCTGAATGATTTTATTTTTAATGGATTTCTTGGGAAGTTAGTACACTAGAAGTAGTTAAATTTAAGATTTCTATGAAAGAAAATAGAAAGATCTCCCATTTGCCGTTTTTTACAGGTTAAAAAAACACTGGCAATAAAGTACTATAAATTTCCTGAATTACGAGAATTTACTTTATTGTGAGCGAATAAAACTCAATCTATAAGCAAAACGTTTCTCACATTATTCGTCACAAAATCGACATTTTAACTTTATGATTAAATTGTGATAAAAACAACCTTGTATTTCAGAATAAAATCAATGCATATTGAAGAACATTTTCTATTATATTACTTACTGGGTAGTACTTTACCGTATGATTTTTCCATAATAATCTTTGCTCCATTTATATTAGTATTCATAATTTTCAAATTATTTTTGGATATATGTTTTATAAAAAAAACAATAACAAATAATTAAAGTAATTAAATTTCATAATTTTATTACTTCATTATTTTTAATTCTGATTTTTATAATTACTATTAGAATTATGAATGATTTTAATAATGAATAAATCTTAAGACTTTTGTTGAGTAAATATACTTCTATTATTCAATATATTTTATTAATAACAGCAACATTACATATAGATAATGATCTTCAAAGCAGTAATTGTCAATAACGAATTATGAAGGAAGTTGTCTAAAACGGATTCCGATATTTTGTAATATGACTGAATAGCTTCTTTCACTATTCGTCCTCTTTGGTTACATCTCCCAAGTTGTAGAATATAATACAGCCGAAATTAATTGTAAGAGTTTTCTTTTATCCAAAAATAGCAAATATTTCTTTGTAATTCAATTTTTAAACAGTTAATAAGAATTAAAACATATTAACACATATTCATACATTATACGAAATATTTAATTTCCAAAATGAGACAAAAATTGTCTTTAAAATTACAAATAATATACTATAATAATAATATAATAAATTTAATATCATAAATTTAAAAATGTAGTCTAAGGTAGGAAAATAAATTATTATTAGAAATAAATTTTAGTGCTACTTATAAGAATTATAGAAAAAATATAAATTATGTTTATATATATTTTTATTTCAATATATGTGCAATTATAGCTAATGTATAAAAGTTTAATTATGTAATTTAATCATTTGTTTTTTATTAGCCTTAATACTTTTTTCTCAATTATATTGATCAAACATGATAATTACATGTAACAATATCATTAATTCGTTCCTCATTGTACATTCTAAATTATATAATGAATGGTGCAAAATATGATATATTTTATAAATTGTGGAAAAAATCTGATATCTATTATTGAAAATTTATATCTAAATATATATGTTTTTACATCATTTATTAGAAAAAAAAAATTAATTCCAGATCATGCAGCATAGTCAATGCGAGTCTTGACCTGCTCAAGAATAGTTAACAAGAGATATGGAAAGTCCATAAATGGCAATATGTATATGGACGTGATATAATATTATTACATATTAAATGGGAAGTTATCGACTTGTCGTTAATTCAAAGAGCAGTGAAAGTGACTCAAAATAAAATACTTGTTATTATAAGTCCAATAATGACATCATAATTTCAATTTTTTTTACAACACTGAAAACTAATCTATTTTGTAGCTACTCGCGAAGGAATAAATTCTAGAACAAATTTTGTCATAATTATTATAAGTATATAACCAATTAAATAAACTTATTAAATAATATTGAAAATTACTCTGTATGTGTGTGTGTGTGTGTGTGTGTGTGTAGAAACATTCTTTTGGAAAATATAAGAAGTAATAGTGCAATAATATTATATAATAAAATATGTTTATTAAAGCTTCCTTGCTTGTTATGTTTCATCGTGATTGTTGCTTTAATATAGTACAATAATATATTTTAATATAATATATTATGCTCTGATATTGTTAGAAATAACGAATTATTATATCACATATACCCAGTCACACACGTACACACACACGCGCGCGCATAAAAAAATTTTTTTTTTTAAATTATAGAGATTTTTGTTTAAATATTATATCAATTTTTAGTTTCTATATAGAGTTGTATTATTTAACGATTATACTAAGTATATACATTTAAGTTTGATTTTTGAACATATAATTATCTTATAGCACAAAGATAAATTTTAAGTATTTAGAAATTATTCAAGCTGAATTAATTTATAAATTTAAATGATATACAATTGTATTATAATAATGAACTTAAAGAAACTTACGACTGCAATAATTTTACTACTTCAAGTTTTAATACTTTCTTTAATTGTGTAAAACAGAACGATTACAAATATTAATAAATTAGAAATATAATAGAACTGAAATTTTTCTATTAATAAATATTTAACTAATTGAACAGTCAAATTTTTTTATAATTGATCATTCATAGTTTATCTAGAAGTTTTATCAATTAAACTATACGATTTTCATATTTCCGAATCATTTATTAATACGAAAATTAGTAACAATATTTTATCATTAAATTGAAAATTATTTTTAATAAATTTAAATTTTAAACAACTTACTATGTAAAAACAAGATTAATTAAAAAGTATAATCTAATTTTCTATAGTTTTATTTATTTTAATAAGTTTTGAAAATGTAATTATTTACTTTTAATTTTTTTATTGAAATGAAAGTAAATGAATGGTATTATAATTTCAACCGCGTTTCACTACTAAATATATTTGCTCAAGCTATGCATTGAATAGAAGTAGAACGAAAGGGTTTTTTTATCTTGATAAAAAATATTTTAGAGTACTTGATGTAAGTAATCACTTTCAAATTTGTGAAAAATATTATGTGTAAAATTTTAGGACATTTAAAATCTTTTGACAATATATTATTATATTGATAAATTAAAACAAATTAACTATTTTTTATTTAAGAGTAATTTTTAAGCTATAATTTAATTAAATATTTATACTTTAGTTTCTATATTTATTTGAACGTGAGGATATATCTTGAGGAAGTAAATTAATATTTACATTGTTTATAACAATTTCAATAATGACTATAAATTTAAAGCACTGATTCCATCGTTATCGTTAATAGAGAAATAATATGTTTATCTTGAATAAACTAAAAATTTCGTTTGATAATAGTTAACTTCCATTTATTGAAATTCGTTCAATGTGTATTTGATTCTTTCATATATTTTTGGTCTGTGCTAAGGCAAAAAGATGAGCCATATAGCGTGCGATGTTTTTTTTTTAAAGGAAAATACAATCTTTCAAAATTAATCGAATGAAATCCTTCGATCTTGTGTCTGTTCTAGTGACCTAAAAAGAAACTGGCATCGAAGAAAGCTACGAAACATTGAAGTGTTACGTGGGACGGTGGTGTAATTTTGCAAATCACTTGATCTAAGTCTTAAAATTCTCTCCAAATTATAGACTTTCTTATATATAAGAAATAATTAATACATATTGAGATATATTATTATTGTTTTCTATTTAAGGGTGTTAGTGATTATATTTAACTTAATAAACATACAATTTTTTAAATATATTTTCTGCATTATATTAAGAAATATACTGTGATCCTTAAATTATTAATTCTGAAATTAAAAAAGAAATGAATATTTTATTTACTAATGTGGTTCTAAAGATTTGAAAATTATGGATATTTTTTCGAATGCAATTCAACTGGTAAGATAAGTTGAATTAAGCGCTACATTTCACGGATTTACAGATAAGAAGAAAATAAATTGTTTACCTTATAACATTTTTTTATGTATATTTGAATCTGATTATAAGATATTTTTTAATAATTTAATGTTATTTCATTAATATAGATATGACTAAACGTGACGGCAATCAAGGGAAGCATCATATATGAAAAATATTACAATATAAAGTTTAGTCATAGAAAGATTTATACAAGCTTAATTGTATTAAAGTGTATAGACATAAAGAGCTATAGATATAGAAAAGTAAATACTTTTCTCTAATTTAAAACGTAAATGCGAAGCAATTCCATATAATTTGCACTCGCCATGTAAGTGTCCACTTTTGACAAAAAAAGAAACTATTATGTCAGTGAATAAAAGGAAAATGTACCTGATAATACAAGCGGCAAGCGTATTACGCGCCCGGAGTGCCGTCCTCGCAATGAGAGCACTGGCCCTCGTACTGACCATCTCTGAAGACGACTAACTTTTGCCTGGCGTGTTTTCCGTGACTGCAGCCAAAGCATGATAACGGCTCGATAACAATTGATGCGAGCAAAGCTGACTGGCACTTAGACTACGTAGATATGAGAGACTAAACGCGCACGACACTGCCGCTCGGGGTTGATCGCCTTCTTATCGTTATTCTATAATTTTTTAACTAAGGGAATTATGTGCGCGGAAGCCTATTTATATATGCATACTTGATTTGCGAATTCTTAGGAAAATGATGAGATGCGAATTTTATGGATATTGATAAAGATCATTTGAGTATTTTAGTAGTAGTAAACGTGCCACGGATGTGTACATAATGATTTCTTCTAATTTTGCCTCTATTTTTGTATAAATTAATAATATTGACAATTCAAAGAATTTACAATACATT